TCGAAAAAATTGAAAAAAGTAAAATTTTGACCGAGACTGACCGAGACTTGACCTTTTTCTTCCGTGACCGGTCTGTCCGGTCGTACCAATAGCTAGATGAGACCAAGCTAAACAATTTGCAAAAAAAGTCTCGTCGAGTCTCGGGGGTTCTTGGAGGAGAAAAATTATCATCTTTGTCAGCGAATCTTCAGTCTCGGTACATGCCTAGTTTGGAAGAGAAGATTGTGGTTTTTTGATAAAAGCCATCAGTGCTGCTTCGATTTCATGGCTAGTGATGGTCTGCAGATTCGGAGCAATATCCCGAAAATAGGGCCGTGATGCCATTAATGAAGCATTCAAACACGCTTGCCGCCGTTGGATCATGTTGAAGAGAACAAACATGAACGAATGATGTTTCTCGAAACGTCGATCTTCCAATGCTAGCATGTAACGGATATGTTGATTCAGTGATATTTTTGTCGGTCTTGAATGAATCTTCTGGCACTCCGCAACCATATGGAAAAAGTGTTGGATATAAACCAGGCAAGAGCTCAGGATTGGAGAAATCGTTGACCGGTTGTATGGAACGAGGAATCATGTACACGAATTCTTCCTGTTCGGTCACTTCTTCGGATGCTTCCATAGAGGTAGTTCGGCTGGCTGCATCCGTTCTGATTCTGTTCAGAACGTGATCACTTATATCTTCAGACGTCACACGAGTCCCGTTGACATCGATCACAGCACTACGACGTGTTTTCAAAAGATTCATATTTCTTTCGGAATCTCACCCTTACCTAGCATTCATGGGAATGTTCTCGGTTCCACTGTGTTCGCTCCGTTCAGCGACAGCTGCCAATGGATCAGAAACAAACCCAGCTCGCTCTGCCTCGGCGTCAGCCACATCGTTCAATATTTCCATTGTTGACCAGATACACTCGGGAACATCATTTTCAGGGAGCTTGTCGATGTTAGCTTCATCAACTGCAGACAAATAGTTCATGTTATTTTATCAGACTACAGTGCGCGATATCTTACTGGGAATGGCGTGGTACAGGTGATTATGTCTCTTCAACCACGGGAGAGCATTTCGCACCTTTTGTCGGCTAACACCACATACTTTTCGTAAGTGTTCTCTGTTTGGAATATGTGCACCGACAAAGATAATTTTGAGAGTGTCGCAAAGGTCTTCCACGTTCAACGGTAGGCTGGAGACGATGTTTTGTATGAATGTAATCACATTTCCCTTGAGTGCACCTTGGGCTGTGGAATGGTGATGGAAAGGTGAGCTTAATTTGATCACAGAGCTGTTGTGTCGGTACAAAGAAATCCTAGTATGGGAACCGGTTCCATACTTCATCTGTTAGAAGAGAAGCAATCTGTACTCACAATTTCTCCTCGGCGATCGTTAGCTGCTGAAGCACTGGTGGTACATCGCCAATCCATGCTTTGTTCGCTACAGAAAAAGGTGGCACTTTATCCTTAGCCAATGCTGCATAGCATTGATCGCATATGTTGCACTTTTCTTCTGTGGCAGTGAATCCTTTCTTGTAAAGAATCATATTGGATACGCAGTGACCGGCTGAATTTGAGGTAGAATCTTAAATGAAAGAAAGTCTCACTTAGATTCAAGTAAATATCTTGGACTACCTGGTGGAACACTTCCTGTGCCTGGAATAACTCCGGGCAGATCCGGATGACCAGCGAGTCTGGCTTGGTTGGGGATTTGATTCATATCATATTCGTCCATCGAACTGATGAATGTTCTGAGATTACAAACAGCACACACGGCTTGTTTCAACACCGACGTAGATGTTTGGTTGACGAAATCTTGGAGACATTGGTCTTTCTGTTGAGTTGGAATAGCTCTGGGCCAGTGGAGACGATCGGATTTCGCTCGATTCTTGTTTTCCAATGAACGCTGTCGTCGTCGCCCGCTGATACTTCGAATGCGTTCATGTGTTTTCTCAGTACTTTCTGCTGCACGAGTCGCTTCTTTTTGTTGTCGATCATCAGCTAGGCGTTTTTTTCGTTGGGATTCATCTTCGTTTTGTCTAGCCGACACTGTGCGTAGACGAGCATCAATAAGACGTCGAGTCTTTTGCTGCTCATTTTCTCTAGCTCTTTCTTGGCGCTTTCTTTCTGCATCGAAGCTCCGTAGAGCCGGTTGAGGTTCAGTTGAAGATGGCAGTAATGTTGAAATTGTGTTAATTAACCGTTGAGCGGGAGGTGGTGGTGAAAAATTCGGCACTCGCACAAATGTTGCCTGGTTGTTTTTTGTCGTTGCCTTTCTCGGACTCTAAACAGAGTTATCGCACAGGTACAAGCTTAAGAGATCGTGCATTGGATGTCTACCTCTAAGATTGAGGAGATTTCCTGTGTTGGTGAGGTTTGAAAGCGTTGTTGAGGCTGAACCAGTGGTACAAAATGATTCGGACTCCAGACATCACCACTGCGAGGACAAGCTTTCGCCGACAATTCATCTATAGTATTTGTCCAAAAAATGAACACTCGATCACGCACGGGTATAGACGCTAGCACTGGCTTGTACGGGCTATTCATGATCTTCATTTCGGCACGATAATCAATGTAAGGATAAATACTGTGTATCTCACACTGCATCACAGTGGCAAGTGCTGCGATTTCGTACAATTCCGAGAATTGATCGTTGTTGCAGGCTCTACAAATTGCATTCTCCAAAGGACCAATAAGATTGCTGTATTTAGTGGTATAGTAGACGCTGTTTATGACGAGTTCGACCACCGTTCGGACTTTGAAAAGAAAGCACATTTTGTTGCATAAATACATCTGGAAGTAGGTTAAGAATCTGACAAACCTCTTAGTTCAACGGCCGATACACAAGAATTCGGCAAAAGACATACAATCGAATGGAAGAGACAATTTCCATCAGCCAAAGTTTCGATTGGGACCAAGTGCTGAACACTTTTGCTTGCTTTCGCAAGGTATTGCTGTGCTACATGATCTATTTTGTGTTTCTCCCCGTCAAATTCGATGAGTGGGGTCAATGTAAGAGGGGCCATTAGCTGTTGATACTGAAAGAATGCCATTACTATTGTATATCAAATGGAAACTAGTAAAGTACTTACAGGTACTGTGCAAATGGTATTCACCACTGCAGTTATCTGACTCGCGTAATCGGACGCTTTTGATGCTGATGCTAGCCATTGAAGAAGTTGCTTGAACTGTTGCCTTCGCTGACAAGTGTCACTGTTACAAAATTGAGCATCACAATTGGACGAGCCGATCAACCAGGTGGGATCACTAGCAGAAGTCGAAGTGGCCATGATAAAACATCTGGAAAAGCAGAAACGTAAAAGTCAGCAAGATGTTTCGGACATCGAAGATCTTCTATCGATTCTAACTTCGGAATTGGTTTCGTCTGCGCGATGCTGAATGAGAATGTGTCTTACTTGATAGGATGATTGAATGAGTTGGAATGATTTGAATTATCATACTTCATCCTTTTCGCGAGTCTCTTGTTCTCTCTTTTTTCTCCTTTCCTCTCTCTACTATATTCCGTTTTCCCCATTTTTGTCTCTTATCTTTTACCCATTTCTCTCTTCATCTTGTCCCCGTCTTATCTCTATCGTGAATTTTGTTGTTTACATTATGGAATCCTTATCAGCACGTCTTTTCGGATTGGGATGGTATCGTTTGGAGCACATCCTTGAAATATCATGATGTAACAAACTTGATGCACACTTCTCACTCTCTGCCAGCTGAGATTTCATGTTCAGTACTCGTGTACGATTCTAGACTCCATTAGCACTGGTGAAGTCGATGAATCTACTTTTCCTGGTGATTGATCTCCCGAAGAGTTCGCTGTTTGCTCATCAAGCCTATTTCCCAATGTGAATAACAACGCGCTTCCGTTTGTCGAACGTAGAATGCATTCGTTTTTCATTATTAAGCCATTCTCTTTTCTTCTCTCACAACAGAGATACATATCTTTGCGAAGATGCGTTAGTTCTAATAGAGGATACAGTCATTCCTTCTCTAATTTGGTTGCAACTCAACCAACAAAAGTGTGGGCCATCGATTTTTGTGAAACGTTCAAGATTTATTTTTATTCTTTGTCGCTGGTGCCTATTGGAAGGAAAGCCACATTATTCATTGTTATTTTGATGATTGAGGTATACAAAGGCATTTGGAACGAGAATGCTCTCGCATATGCAACTGCACATCTCATAGACGAGCGAAACAATGCTGATCATTTCAAGCTGAAATCAATGTTTTTTACCAACACATATCGTCCACAGTGATTTCCAAGTAGATCTTGATGAGCCAGAACTATCTTCTGAGCATTATGACGTTATTTGTTGGTTGGAAGCCAAGCCGAGCCTAATCGGCATATCATGCTTGTTGAGTAAATTGGTCTACTGTATTCAGTTGTCGCCAGTAACTGTCACCCCGAACTGCGTCAGTGATCACTACGTGATTGTATGATAAGCGAACAGCACACATTATTCTCGTTTGTTCTTCTGTAAGAGTCATCCAAACCTCGATGACGTTTCAGGATAGTTGTTGCCTAGTCCTATCTATTGGTCACAGAATCGATATTTGCTTTATCTTTCTCTCCTTGGAAGGAAATCATTTGCTCATCCTCAATGATCATCTCGCATGTTTTTGCAGCCGAAGTTTCAACTATTGCTTATTAATCTTTGATGAGGCCCGCGCGTTCGATTTTCGAGTCGAGTCTCACAGAAATTCATAGAATGTAGAGCGTATTTCTCTCTTTAAACTACGTAGCAGTGAAGGTTTCTACAGTCAGCTACTGGTACCCTGTGTGGTGTTTTGTTCCGATGTTTTTCAATGTGATCATACTTCTTCGAAGTTATCCAACCTCGATTTCTCTGGAATTATAGGAATGTCTTGTTTCAAGAAAATAGCTGCTTTTGTTGAAGAAAGGATTTTGCTAAGTCGAAACAAACGATAGCATTTCAACCATGAGTTTGGAAGACTCGCTAGGTTCAGTTAGTGATTCCTTCAGACAAGAAAATAACTTTGACATAAATCTACGTTATCAAACGTCGATTTCATCATCAAACGTAGGATTTGGTTATTGTTTTGCAGTCACAAGTTGTTTAGAAATCAAAATACAGAGAAAACAGTCCTAAATTCGAAGCTCTGGTACTCAAAGGATTGAAGCGCTCCATTACAACGACTGACACTTTATTGTATCCGGAAAAAGAGCATTCTTTTACTTGAGTGATATTTTGTCACAATACATTTTGAGCCAATTTTGGGTCCCACAAACTTTTGAAAGTAGTTTTCGATGTACGTCCAGGCGCTCTTTTAAATGAGGCTAAACCCGAGATTATCATGTGCGCTGATCTGACAAAACTACCTGATCTAGGCGAACATGTCTTCCGCGGCTGGTAGAGGATGTAATGCGAAACAAAATCGACGATGAAGCACTTTCAATGGTACGAGAAGATAACTCAAAGTCGATAGTATGTACGGAGGGAAAATCTCGGCTTCAGCTCACACTGCTCGTCTGAAACTCGCAATCCATTGAAAGGTGTGGCTCAAAAACACGCAAAGAATGAACCTCAGTATCCCCACACGAAAGTGTCGCATCTCTAGAATAGAACATCCGTTCGAGCTGAATCTTTCAGGTTATTCTCTACTTAGGTGTATGTATCTCCTGTAGGGAAACCAACCAAATCAGTGAGATCGATTTAATAACGTTCTGCTATCGCGGGTCGTGGCTTAGTTGCAACACTCTGTAGGTAGGAGCAAGAGCATGCAGTGGTTGAGACAGAGAATAGAGATCCAACACGCACAATTTCTCGGCAATGAAAAAGTTCCCACAACGGGTCAGGTTCCACAACGGATCAGGTTACATAATGAATAGAGTATATATATATACGTTTACCCATATTTACATATTTGAGTTCATTTGAATCCCAAGATTGTTGTCAACATTTCTTCTGTTGTAGACGGCCTAGCAAAAATAGAATTTGGGCAATGCATTTCTCTTATTCAAATCGGGTACATACTAGATAATCTAACACCAGTAGATATGAATTCCACATGAGTGCACCATTGAACTGCGTAAGCCGCTCCAATGATTTGCCACAGTGCTCGCATCGGTATTTATACTCGAGCGTGGCCTGATGGTTATCAGATTGCTTCCTAATGGATAGCCGGTACTATCTTTTGAAGTCTTTTGATCCATGACAATGACTATCTGGCGATCATATCTGTCTGTGATTGATGGCAACAGAGAAGATGGTCTGGTGATCATCTCACCCTTTGATCAGTGACGTCGGCGAGGGTAATCTGGCGATTAAATCTATCTGTCATAGGTGATGATATGAAGGATGACCTGTTGACAGTGACTGCCTGTGACCGATGAGAACAAAGAAGGTGGTCTGGTGATCATCTCTCCCTTTGATCGACGATGACAACGATGTTGATCTGGTGATGTTATCTCCTGTGATAGATGTCGTGACAATGATATCGAGAAACCTCTCTGATGACCTCTTTTGATCTGTACTATAAGTTGTATGAGGGCTGGCGAGAAATAATGATCACTCCTTGATGCAATCGATGGAAGACGTGTACTAGATTCGAAGTACTTGTTGGACAGGCAACCACCCACCATATTCAAGCGAATGTGTAGTGGAGTACTTGGAAATAGTGAGAATGCCATCTGATGCTGATTCGACTGATTATTCGGCGGTTTAGACGTTTATTTCGAAAATACAGGCTCCCCCACGTCGTATAACCTTCAAAGGAACCTTTTTTGGAAAAGTCTATTTTCATTGCTTTCTAGCCGATGAGACGAATTTCGAGGAAAACGGCTCGGGATTCGGACTCGCAGAGCCGAATTGCATATGGACCTTCTCAGAGCGCGATGGGATCTCGTCTATATTATGTTCTATTTCGATCAATCAGTAAAGTGCGGACATACAAACAACCGCACACTTTATTTTTACCGGACTCTTGTCTACAAGAAAGTGAACTGATGACAGGCTCGTTAAGTTGTTTCCGTAAAACAGGGGAAGGCTCTCTTCTGCCTAGAAATTTTACCGCTACACTGAGAGGGGGAACGATACGAATAGAAACGTAGCTATGGAACTAAAACAGTGTCTTTTACTTGCTATTCTTTCAGCATCCTCTTAAAATATTACTTTGCGACGATCAAAGATTAATGACAGCGGCACAAAAACACACAGCATCAAATTCAATACTTTAATCCAGAAGATATCCCTTTAGACTAATTCTACACTCCTAACAACAACACCGTGTTTGATCCTGTAAAAGAGCCAGACCACGTAACCTAGGGTCATATCGTGGGGGACCTGCTCTGTCAAGGTTCTCAGATCTTGCTCAATTTGCGGCAGCTTTGTAATAGCACTAGTTTCATGAATATCTGCGCAAGCGGTTTCAGGAAAATTGAACTCTCACCGTTTGAGCTAATTATTCCGAGAAGCTCTGAAAATCACGATAGAGAACCGCTATTTTTGTGAAGTGTCTTTCCAGAACGGTTCGTATAATCGACGTGAAATTTTTCGTAGATACATATCTGGATGATCTCTACCCGGACTGTAATTTTTGGCTCATCATGTGGACCCCTTGGCATTTTTATAAAC